GCGACATATCGCAGCGGCGGCTCAAGTTATTGAGGTAGGAAGACCCGCTGCCGCGATAGTTCTTGGAATAATCGGGTAGTGTGCTGCTCGCCAGCCTATCGGGCCGCGTTAGACACATTGTCGTAAGTGCCGAAGTACTGAGAGCAGGGCGGAAGCGGCCTATGTGATCCAGTCAGGCACCGAGACGATAAAGACACGATCAGGTAAGTCATCAAATGGAGGATTTGCATGCCTACCAGCTATCGAAACTATCCATAGCAGTGTCCGTTGTAACGTGAAGCTCCTTCACTCGCGCCTTTCGTATCTATTCCTCTTCCGGACGTTCCATAACCGCCCTGTCCTGCGCCGTTAGGCTTGGAACGTGTTCAGGATCTTTGTTCTCCGCGAGCCTATCCGTCGCAGATCTATCCGACTGCAGAGCCCCTCTATCACCACCGTCACGACCTCCGCCAGGGTCTTCATCGCTCGTCGTACCACGGTCGTAGTCCTGCGCAATTTGCACAATCTCCTTACGTAGGGTGCGTTCCTCGGCCAGGAGGTCGTTCCATCGGTCGACGTTAAAGCCGCGCTGCTTGTAGAGAGCGTGACGTCGCGTTAAAATGGAGCTATCCAGCACGGACGTGTACGACACTTCGCGCCCTTGGTAGAGAAACCAGAGGTAGCCGAGAATGACTGTCGAGAGGCCAGAGAGGTATGTAATGGGTTCCATGACGTCCCTGCAACGTAAGTTGGCCGACCAGGAGACGCAGCCAGCTAAGAACGGCGCTACGCACCAACCAAAATCCCAGAATGTTAAGCGTGCAACAAGGCCCCAATATATGACGAGCATGCCCAGTCCGCCGATGGCGACACGCTTTGCGCTCCGACGCGCCTCCCTATCGCACTCCTGCTTCAGGCCCTCCATCGATCTGAGGTCCGCAGATATACGGTGTAGACGCATACGCAAGAACCGCGTGCGGTCGGCGAAAGTTGGCACGACGACCGTCATGGTATGCTCCTCGACATCATCCTCATTCACAGCCTCCTTCAAACGTGGTCGTGATATCCGGATGATGAACTCGTTTGCACGGGCCGCATCGTGAACGAAGTCGCCGACATCGGTTGAGTCAGACCATTGAAGAAGGCGGCCTCGTGGGGAGACACTGCGAAAGGAGATGTCGAGGGAGCGGTCGGGCAGCGAGGAGGCAATGAGGCGTGTGACATGCGATATGGGCTGTGAGGGATGCAGGAGAAGGACGGTCGGGACGGGTTTATGAGGCAGGCTAATAGGGGGGTTGCGCAGCTGGCAGGCAAGGACATCAAGGGGAAGAATGAGCTTAAAAAGGTGGGACGTCGTCGAGGAAAGCTTCCCTGCAGCAAGGACAGGACGTTAACGCGTATTCTCCTATCGGGAACGCACCTCAAGCAGGACGGCACCGACGCTGATAAGATGACTGAAAACAGAATCAAACGCACCCTTTCCTTCCTCTACGTCGTCGAAGTCATCCCACTGTTGGTGGGTACCAGGCGGGTGGCCATGTTTCCCTTTCCTCGTCCCGTTGCCATTGACAGTCAGCCATTCAGCGTGTTCAACGTTGACGTTCTCAGGAGAATGAATAGCTGAGTATCGTCTGCAATGCAGACAATAGAAGGTTTCCGTCGCGCATTTTGACCGGATCGAACTGGGCAAGACTCGCGAACCACCGACAACAAAGCGTCGAGAATAGGAGTGTCGAGATGTAAGCGAGGAATCTAGAGTGAACAAACGGCGCAGAACGCCAAGGAACGTAGGGTGGCACATAAGCACACCCAAGAGGGGCTGAGAGCTTAGGCAAGAGAGGATTCACGAGCATCCATGACGCACGTAACGGAATGTGGGCGACATCCACTACGACTGAACTGGCTCCAGCTAGCGAGTGCGTCATCGACGTTTACAGTCATCCCGGCCAGGAAATGATCGCTTCCCACGATCGCCTCCGGTCCCCGCTGATACTCCCGCCGCTAGGGCGTGCGTTATCTGCTGCGTCCCGGCTTTATTCTTCCTAGACCTGTGCGCACCTTCTGCGCACATTGACCTCTGTCAGATCACAGGCGCACAACGCAAGCACTGTTGGCACAAGCGGGATGGGACTGACGTGCGCGTTCATGTGCCCTTGATAACATACTGTATTGCCAGCTATCACGAGTTCTCGGGCGTAGCCTCCGTCCTGGGAGTCAGGCCTAGTCAGGCTTTCTCAAAGTGATCTACGACGACTGACCCGTTCTTTGGTCGACCGTCATGGATGAGAAGACTCGAGGGGAGAAGCTGCATGTCTCGTTGGCCCCAGGCGGTACGTTTGAGGCGAACGTGCTGGACAAGCAGACCGGGACGCGACGTATCGTTAGGCTACTCATCTTCGGCCTATTGGGCATCCTGTTGTATCTTCAAATTTCATTCGCACCAGCGCAGTCCCGCCATCACAACAAACATGCACTTCCAGACCTCTATGAGGCATCGATCGCAGAGCTCCAGGATGGGTTGGAGAAGGGTCTGTTTACGAGCGTTGACCTTGTAAAGGTGCACGATGCTGTGGCTCATTAACAGCCGTGTTCTGAAATAGTATTTTCCATGCAGGCATACTTTGCTCGGATTGACGAGGTGAACATGAAGGGACCCATGCTACGCGCCATCATCGAGATAAACCCGAGCGCATTGGAGCAGGCTGCCGCATTGGACGAGGAGCGCAGGACAAAGGGGCCACGAGGACCCCTCCACGGGATCCCAATCATGTTGAAGGATAACATCGCTACCATAGCTCGTGAAGGTACGATTGCACCAGTCCCCGCGCTGTAGCATTGCTTTATGCGGTTCGCACGTAAGGCATGAACACCACCGCTGGTATGTGCTTTGCTGGGGCAGCTGGAGCGGTCAGGTCTTAGTGCCTTTGGTAGGGTCTTTTGCCCTGCTTGGCTCAGTGCCGCCACGCGACGCAACAGTCGCTGCCAAACTTCGTACAGCCGGTGCCATCATCCTTGGAAAGGCCAACTTATCTGAGTGGTCGCATTCCCGCGGTTCACTTGCTCCTGGCTGGTCAGGCCGTGGCGGACAGACGACCTCCGCGTATTGTTTCACGTGCGATGCGTCGGGATCTAGTTCTGGAAGCGGGGTCGCTAGCTCCATCGGACTGGCTGCAGCCTCCCTGGGCACTGAGACAGACGGCTCGATCATACTCCCGAGCAGCAAGAACAACCTCGTTGGCATCAAGCCCACTGTAGGACTAACATCACGAGCTGGAGGTATGAGAACCCTCCGGCTTAGCTCCGGAACACTTTATAACAGACCGTTCAGTCATACCAATCTCGGAACATCAAGACACCGTCGGACCCATGACGCGCTCCGTCGCCGATGCTGCGACAATCCTCACAGTCATCGCCGGTCCCGATCCGCTCGATAACTACACTTTGGCACAACCTGTGACACTCCCCGACTACACTAGCGCACTCGTTCCGAACGGGCTGGAGGGTATCCGCCTTGGCGTGCCACGTAGCGCATTTCCCTACGATGAGAGCATGGTGGCGGTGTTCAACGCTACACTCGACGTTATGCGCGAACTTGGCGCTACTATCGTCGATCCCGCCGACTACCTTGACATAGATGAGATGCGTGTGTCAGAAAACGAGACAATTGTTCTTAGAACGGACTTGAAAGTGCGAGTTCCTCTGTATGGCCCCAGGCATGCCTTGATTTTCAAATACCTTCTAGTTTAACCTTCAGAACTACATCGGTGGCCTGTTGGAGGTGCCGACCGGCGTCAAGAACCTCTCAGATCTCATCACCTTCAACCTCGAACATGCGGATAAGGAGCTTCCTGAGCCATTTTACAACAACCAGTCTGTGTGCGCATTCCACGTCTACTCAACGTTTTGTGTGAAGGTTGACCTATAGAAGCTTCCTTCAGGCAGTCAACACGACGAAGGATGACGCGTATTTTGCGGCAATTTCGTCGAACGTGGACCTTGGCCGCACACGAGGCATCGATGGCACTCTTGAGCACTTCGGTATCGATGCGCTCGTGCTGCCCTCCGAAGGCGCGTCGGCACTTCAGAGTGTACATTCCTCCATCCCGCCCTGTTTAACATCGACTATAGGCTATTCTTCCACCCCCGCGGCTATAGCTGGCTACCCCGTCATCACCGTTCCCCTCGGCTTCCAGCAGGACGACGTGGTGCCAGGCCCCGCAGATCCTATAGTCAAAAAGGGTCCCGGCATGCCCTTCGGGCTCGCCTTCGTAGGCACCGCGTTCAAGGAATTCGATTTAATCAAGTTTGCGTACGCCTACGAGCAGGCGACGCATACGCGTTTAGCGCGGCTCGCGTATCCTGCTGCGATTCCGAAGACACAATTGGTGGATATAATGCAGCCCAGAATCTAAACGCCGCAGCCAGGTGGGCCTGAGCTGTTTGGACTCGTCCTGTCGCGGTTCAAGGTGTGCAGCACATTATGTGTCTGACGATAGCGCAGTCAAGGGATCAGACCACTGTAATCCATCTGCCTCTTCTGGTCATATGTCTGTGGCAAGCCATACGGCCATCCGCAGAGACAGCACGCAAAAGAATGCTTCGTAAAGCGCGCACCCTTGTAGCAGGGCTCGTCGTCCACGGTGCAGTTGGAATTGCGGGTGTTGTACACTGCTAAAGGACGTCTACCGCAACATGGAAGAGATAAACGAAGAAAAGAGCAGCGAAAGTACGAATTTTTGTGTGTCTTTTGTGAGCATGTGAGACTTCAAGCTTCAAGGAAGCGCCTGCGCCTTTGTTCAGTCCCCTCCGCTTCCCTTCGATTGAATCTCAGCATTGACTATCACCCCACGGAGGAAAACTTCCAGAGGTTATTATATATGTACAATATACATATATGTAGCGGTAAATTGATATTCTAGCCTATACAGAAGTATATTGAAGGAGATTTGAAGCTGCTTCCAAGAGGATGCCAACACACAGTAGACAGCGAAGAGTAGGGAAAACGGAAAAGCATAATAAAATGCTCCCTGCAAGGCTCGAACTTGCGACCTCAGGATTACTCAGTCATGGGACTGATCACACTTTCGTATGAGACCTGCGCTCTAGCCAACTGAGCCAAGGAAGCGACATACGTGATGTTCAAAAAATTAACCTCATAGTACTCTGCTCGTAGCCCGGCATATACGCCCCGAGCTCTCCCACAGAAATAGCTGCAATGCTGGGTTGACTCCACGGCTCAAGGATGTCCACTAAGCCGGAAGTCACCCGGATATGTCCACTCAAGAGCTAATGGGACTTCAACTGCAAGGAAATGCTGGTATGACCTTACCGCGCGGCGTCGTGTATCCTACTAGTACTATAGCATCGGATTCACCAAGTATCAGGCATATGGTTTCACAACACGTCTTCTAACTGCGTCTTCGGAATCGCTGCCGGGAACGCAAGCCGCTTCAGACGTGTATGCGTCGCTTGCTCGTACGCGAATGCGAACTTAATCAGGTTGAACTCGCTGAAGGCGGTGCCCATAAATGCAATCCCAAAGGGAAGGCCTGGCGCGTTTTCGATGACGGGATTTGCCCGAGTCGCGGTGACGTTGTCTGGCTGGAAGCCAAGCGGTACGGTGACAATAGGATATCCAGCAATAGCGGCGGGCGTCGATGTGAAGCCTAGAAAGCCGCTACGATGACAAGAAGATGAAGGTAATAGTGGTACTGCGCACCGTCCGTAGGAAGCAAGATTGCATCCAGATTAAACTTCTTCAGAGTGCCGTCGATTCCACGCGTTCGGCCGAGATCCGCATCCGCCGTGAGCGCTGCAAAATACGCGGAGTCGACAGTTGTATTCTCGGATACGATAAATCTAACAAACAAATAAGCAACGTGGCACCGACAAAAGCTGGTTCAACCTCGCACTCCGACTGATCCGTATAGAATGGGGCGGGAAGCTCTTCAGCAGCATGCGCGATGTTGAAGGCAATCAAGTCCGCAAGGTCCGCTACACCAGTGGGAACCTTTAACAAGCCATCAATGTAGGTCTTGACGTCGACCTAACGTATAAGATATATATTCAATATCTCGTTTGATAGGGAGGGAAAAGATTACTTTGAAGTCAGTATCAAGCACAATAGTTTCGTTGTTCGACGCGAGCATTTCTCCTGCATCGGGGAAGTCTGCAGGGTCGACGATGGTTGCGCCGAGCTCACGAATCACACTGAGCGTCTCGTTGAAAGCCGCGTTGATGTTGTTATCGTCAGGAAAAAAAAGACGGGGAACGCCCAAGCGAATGCCCCTCAGGCCCCCCGAGACAAGAGCCTTGGTAAAGTCTGGAACCTTGGCGGGCTGAGCGAGAGTGAAGTTGTCCAAAGGGTCGCGGCCCGCAATGACGGTGAGGATGGCCGCGGCGTCGGCGACAGAGCGCGCCATTGGGCCGACTGTGTCCTGGTGGACGGATATCGGGATCACTAGATGAGAGGTCAGCAGGTCAACATCATATGGAAATGTGAGAATTTGTACCTCCTGCTCTCGACGTCAACCCAACGGTAGGCTTGATTCCGACTAGATTATTCCTACTGCTGGGCGACACGATGGATCCGTCAGTCTCACTCCCTAGCGCTGCTGCGGCAAGGCCGATCGAGCTGGCAATTCCACTCCCAGAGCTCGACCCTGATGGGTCCGCGCCGGGGAAGTACGCGCATGTCGCTTGGCCGCCGCGACCGGACCAACCCGAGGCAATGTTTCCCCTGAAATGCGCCCATTCGCTGAGGTTAGCCTTCCCTAGGAGGATTGCTCCGGCCGCACGAAGCTTCGCAGCAACTGTGGCATCCCGTGGAGGGACTGAACCAAGAAGAGCAAACGAACCTGCGCAACGAATTTAGTTTCCGAGACGCGGATCACTCGGCACTAGTGCACACCAGCCGTGGTGTTCATGCCTATCGGTTATATGAGATCAAAAGCAGGAGATATTATTTGCTCAACGGTATGCGTACCGTCGCTAATCATGGTGGCGATATTGTCCTTCAGGAGAATGGGAATCCCGTGCAGTGGACCACGCGGCCCCTTCGTTTTGCGTTCAAAGTCAAGGGAGGCGGCCTGCTTCTGAGCACTGGGGTTCATTTCGATGACCGCACGGAGCGCAGGTCCCTGTAAGTTCACTTCGTCGATCCGAGCGAAGTACGCCTGTCAGAGGAACCATCCGACTAAATGACACGCGAAAGCATCAAAGGTCTCACGTACTTTCACCAAATCAACGCTAGTAAACAAGCCTTTCTCGAGCCCATCCTGTAGCTCTGCAATTGATGCTTCGTACAGGTCAGGAAGTGCGTTTTTTTGGAACAAGGAAGACACTGCAATGATAAGCTGACAATGAAACGCGAGACCAAAGAGGAGGAGTTTGAAAGCGAACTTCATCTTCGCTTTTAAGTCTGGGCCTATCGTCGTCGCGGGACAGCCCACAGAAGTGTTGTTTTCGGGTGGCGAACTTTCTAAACCGGTTAAGTATGATCTCGAGGCTCCCATCGCTATCAGCGAAGCGACGAAGCGGCGCATAACAGCCCCTTCTCCCACACCGCGTCTTGAACGTCGGCTGTCCGCGGAAGCAGCAGACTGCTCACGTTAGGCGCGGTTGTACGTACACCCCACGAGGGGCAAACATGACTTCCCATGAATCTTTTCCCGGATGGCCTGTCTTGGGATAAGACGCTTTGAGTCCATGTGCATCCGATCGTTATCATCGAGCCTGGGCGACTTCCAGGCCGTACGCGGTGCGAACACGATTCATGTGCCGGGGAAGCGGCAGCTACTGTGTATGACAACGACAAAGTACAGCTACTGTACATGACAATGACAAGGCACAGTAGGGAATACGAAGGAGAGGGTGGGTGCGAGCGAGCGAAGCGTGACGAGCGTGCGACGATGTGCTACGACGGTATGCGGAGCTGCGTTGAGAGGGCTGACAGCGGGCGGAAGCAAGCACGCCCACTGCAGCTGCTGGCTCGCTCGGCTGGACGCTCTTTCGTGCTCACGCGCTCGCGCGAAGGAACTACGCCTCACGTCTGCTTTGATCCCACCTTGGTTACGACTATAAAGTGTTTCTCACTTCGAATCGTGACGAGCTTCCCGGTCACTCCGCTGGGGGTATTAAACCCATGGCTATGTTTGCTCCCGCCCACTCCGATGGCAAGACGTACACCCGACAACTATGTTCCATCCTCGACTCCTCGACTGTCGTCTACGCATCTTTTTTGATCTCCTGCTCAAGACAAGCAGCGCTGTTTCAAGCAACAGCCCATGCTCCAGAAAGCCTTTCCTGCGCAGCTGGCTCCTTCCCCGGATAGACTCCTACAGCCCCCCGTTCTCAGGTTCGGCTGGGCTGTAGAGCTCAGCCGTCTGAGGGAAGTCGTTCAACGGGAGTTTCCTGACGCCGTATTCCACGCCGTCCGCAAGGGCGATTTCGAGGAGAATAGCGGAATTAATGAGGATGATCTGATGAATGACCCTGTAGATGAGGATCGAGAGAAGGAGATGGGAGATGAGAAAGAGGAAGAGGACGAAGACGAAGACGACGCGCAAAGCGGGTTCGATAGCATGATAACCCCCGACATAACTGGGACGCTTTACCGTCGCAACGCTATCGATCGCATCGCCAAACGGTTTGGTGTTGAAGATCCATCTGCCATCAACTTCCTATGGATGAGGGATGCAAACTGTGTCCCGAAGATGGCCATCTCGGTTGGCTCCAATTACACGAAAAATACCACGCGTCTTACCATGTCTTGGTAATGCCATTACCAGCGGGTGGTAACGGATCGGGGCTGGTATACGCCCCGTTGGTATACGGCCTCGTGTTCCCCTTGCCGAGCCCGATGCCACGTCAGAATCCCGCGCCGCTGTCGGGTCCCGGCGCGGCGTGTGCGCCGCATCGCGTGTGCGCGACGGACATCCTTCACGGGCGTTCGGCGTCACGCCTTTCGCATTTTGCTTCCGTCCGCCCATGGTCCCGTCGGTGGGCGCCGCCGCGCACGGGCGCTGCCTCTGCAGCCCGTCTCAGCCGACGCGCACCGAACAAAGGCAACGTCTCGCGCGGCCTGTCTGCGCCACGCCTC